CAGAAAAACTTAACATGCAAATTTCCACAAATAAGACCAAATGCATGATCATTACAAAGGAGCCTCTAAGGTGCAAATTGGTAATAAAAAACAAAACTATTGATCAGATAATGTCATTCGAATACCTCGGAAAATTACAAGCTCAGGATTCCTGGAAGAAGAAGTAAGGAAACAAGCCAATAAAGCTGCCACAATATCAGGACATCTTAAATATCCCATATGGAAAAACAAACATTTGAGTACAGAATGTAAGTCAAGAATATACAAAACCTGCATACGACCAGTGATGACATATGGTGCGGAAACCAGAGCTGAAACATCAGTAACAAAGAGAATCCTACGAACTACTGAAATGAAGACCTTAAGAATGATAACTGGATACACATTGAGGGACAGACAGAGAAATGTAGACATAAGAGAAAAGTGCCAAACAAACGACGTTGTCAGATGGATAAGGCAGAGAAGAAGAGAATGGAACCAGCATGTTAATAGAATGAGCCCCGACAGAATGGCCATAATAATTCGCAACAACGTACCCCGTGGCAGAAGACTACTGGACGACCACCTAAACGTTGGCAAGACAGTTGGCAGTCAACCTCGCAATAGTTGCTTCGACGAGGAGGAAACCGGAACTAAACAGGCGATACGCCTTCTAAAAGAAGAAGAAGAAGACCCTTTTATACGACATACGTCCATAATAATACTTGCTTCACAAACTTGGTGGCTATTTAGAGCGGACTGTTCAAATTTTTAAATCGTCTTTATAATTCAATATTATAAGTCGAAGTCTTTATCGTCCGGGGTACCGTATTCATTAGTACCATGTATTCTTATACGAAATTCAGATGAGCTTCAAGTTCGTATATCGATCTGGGAAGGTGAAATCGAAAAGTGAAAAACAACAAGCTGATCAACTTTCATCCTAAATTTTTATCAAATTAAATATTCAGTCAACTTCAAGTGTATCTCGTGACCATTTTCGCTAAATCTTTATACCGCCGTCATTTTGATAAAAGATTTTGATAGAAGACAGAAGGGCACGATTTTGTGCGCACCGAAGAAACATTTTATAAATAATCGAAATGAAACAAACACGTAATACATTATTTTGTAGTAAAAATACCGTTTAATTATTGATGTGACAATCTATTATGTGACATTTTATCATCTAGGTACGTCTTTCTTTGATAGTTTGTTTTTTGATTCACCGCTCAATAACTTTATTTTTATTGGAGATATTCGCTTTTGAATAAGACAGTAACGATTTACAGCAATGACTTTGGGTTCTCATCAACACACTTATAAAATAGTCTTTATTTGTAGTCATTTTTTGTAATGCCATTGTCATTGAAAAGTCAAATCATTACTGTTTATTAATTTGCTCTAGTAGAGATGGTTTTAAGTTCTTAAGTATCGGCTATTGTTGCTTTAATTGATCATGGTAAAGATTAACTTTTGGACTTAAAACCATATCTGCTAGACTAACTGCTCAACAGACAATAATAATATAATTTTTCAAGACTTCAAGGCTAGGACCAAAAGCAAAGTCATGGTTATAAAGTAAAAAATACGAAAAAATGTTAGTGTCTTCTCAAAAGCGAATATCTCCAGAAGAAATAAAGCAATTGAGATGAATCAAAAACAAAGTATTGAGAAAGTATAAACCTAGGTGAAAAAAAAATTATGTCTTAATTAAAGGAACATTTTATAAAATTCTAATCTAATTAAATCTGTTTTGATATTTATGTATCGTAGGATTAAGGATACTCTTTCTCGTAAAAGTCTCCTCAGGAATTCCTTCAAGACTAGAGATTTGACTGGGTACATTTTTACCCCCTCTTTAATACTATTTGATATCCTTTAATCATGAAACAAACTCGTATTAAATTACTTTATAGTAAAAATACCGTTTAATTATTCATGTGACAATCTAATTTAAGCTAGATGGAAGAAGGATGGAACGAATATAGGCAACAATTTACGAGAAAATACAAAATAGGGAAAATCCCAAACGGTACGCCAGCTGTTCAATGTTTTCATTCTATAATGGAAAAAAATAATTAAAAAACACAAAGCCCGTCGCGAAAGAAAAGCCTTTCCACCCTATATCGGAGATTTATTCTCCGAGGAGAATGCGGACAAAAGTTAAATAAAAGAGGGTGGCGGAGGATCCGTGTCCTAAACAAGCACATTTTTCGATAATTCCGAGGCGGGTCCCGAGAAATAATCGGATTTTGCATATTATTAAAGACATACTCGGTTTGGGGGTGGAAGGTTTGTTATTTCAAATCGGCCTTCAGGGATTGCGGTCGGAGAAATGAGGAAAGTTGCAACAGGAGTTTGCGTAACTCCAAACGGGGACAACCTTTTATTTGCTTTATCCTTTCCGGAATGTCTGAAGTAGAAATAATGAGGAAATAGGTACATTCAAGAAAGCAAACTTAGAATGCATTATTTGGTTGGTAAGTACGTTACCCTCTATCAAATTTGCCATTAAATGACTGTTAAAACAGATGCTTTTTTGTTGTTTCAGGATGTTTGCTATGGAAAAACTGTGTTTTAGTGGGACAACCAATATGTGTTTAATTTATATAATAAATTAACTTCAATATAATATGCAGTATCAAATAACATATACCAAACCAAACCATTTTTTCACGTGTTCCTCTCATACGAGCATCATCAACAAAAATGCAATTAAAATCACACCACACACGTCCACATTTTACATATTCAAACAACACTAAAGGTTCACATTGTTTAGTTTTAATATAAATGTTTTAGACCTAGACTTTGAGTCTTTTTTCTACATTTTGAATGAATAAGACGATGAAATTTTCTAAAAAAGATACAGTTGGAATAAATACATGAACTTCATAGTGCAATTCTAACTTGGTGTATATTGAAATTCATTAAATATTGTTTGATTAACGAAATTTAACTGAAGAGGCAGGATCCATGTTCAGAACCAGTACATTTTCGATAATTTTGAGGCAATTTCTCGTGGTGGTGTATATTGAAATTCATTAAATATTGTTTGATTAACGAAATTTAACTGAAGAGGCAGGATCCATGTTCAGAACCAGTACATTTTCGATAATTTTGAGGCAATTTCTCAGGAATAACTGAATTTTGCATATTATTAAAGACATACTCGGTTTGGAGGTGGAAGGTTTGTTATTTCAAATCGGTCTTCAGGGATTGTGGTCGGAAAAATAAGGAAAGTTGCAACAGGAGTTTGCGTAACCAAGCGGGGATAACCTTTTATTTGCTTCATCCTTTCCGGAATGTTAAGTAGAAATAATGAGACAACAAGCAAACACGCATTATTTGGTTGGTAAGTACGGACGTTACCCTCTATCAAATTTGCCATTAACTAAATGTTAAAATATATTCTTTTTGTTGTTTCAGGATGTTTACTATGAAAAATGTTAGTTTTAGTGGTATACATATATCCCCATATATGCGTGTTTAATATATATAATAAACTAAGTTGAATATCACCGGCACCAAAGACAGGCACCTTATAATTTTGATGTATTTTAAAGTTAAATATATTTTGTTCTAGTGGGCCGATTTTGAAGATATTTTAAGCAATTTGTAGCTAAATTATTTGACTTTTTAGTATCTTTTTCTAAAACTTTTCATCTGTCAATTATACGAGGTAAAACAAAATGTTGATATTTTCGTGAAAGTTTGAAACACCCTGTGGAATATGTTAACAAAGCAAAAAAAAAATACTTTATCATATAGCAAACATTGAGAAAAGATAAACCTAGATGATTAAATTAGGGTGTTTTAAACTTTCACCAAAATATCAACATTTTGTTTTCCCTCGTATAATTGACAGATGGCAACTTTCATATTTAATTCTGAAAATGGTACTAAAAAGTCAAATAATTTAGCGACAAATTGCTTAAAAAATCATCAAAATAGGTTTTCTAGAACACAATATATAAAACTTGAAAATACATGAAACTTTTAAGGTGTTTTTTGTAATGTGTATTGTATAAAATAACGCATACGACTTGATTGTAAATCCATAAAGGAGAAAAAAAACTCAAAGTCTCGGTCTCATACATTTATATTAAAACTTAACAATGTGACATGTGTTTCGCTCATACAACTGAAATCATCAACAGAAATATAACTAAAATCACACCACACGCGTCCAAATTTTACATATTCAAACAACAACAAGGTTGCACATTCCAAAGACAAGACTCAAAGACCAAGACTTTGAGTCTTTGAATGGCAAATTCTAACTTGGTGTATGTTGAAATTTATTAAAGTTTGTTTTATTAACGATTTTTTTTATCACATGGATCCTACCTGAAGAGGATATGTCCAGAACAAGTACATTTTCGATAATTTTGATGCAAGTTCTTAAAAATAACCGGATTTTGCATTATTAAAGTTTGGTTGGGTGGAAGGTTTGTTATTTTAAATTGGCCTTCAGGGATTGCAGTCTGAGAAATGAGGAAAGTTGCAACAAGAGTTTGCGCAACTCCAAGTTGAGAGAGCATTTTATTTGCTTCAGCCTTTGCAGAATGTCTGAAGTAGAAAGAATGAGAAAATATCTACATTCAAGAAAGCAAACATGCATTATTTGATTGGAAAGTACGGACGTTAGTAGGCTCCTTCTATCAAATTTGCCATTAAATTAACTTCTAACACAGATGCTTTTTGTTGTTTCGGGATGTTTACTATGAAAGCAACTGTGTGTTTAATGGGACAACCATATAAGAACCACTAAGATAACACTAAAGAACGACATCAAAGAGGCCGCATGTGAAGCTTTAGGCACCCGGATTATAAAAAGAAATAATAGCACCAAAATAAATAAAACTCCGTGGTTCCGCCCAGAAATTAAATGAAAATGTAGAGAGAAAAAAATTCGCAAACGAGAATCATTCGAAACATATAGACGAATCCGAAACGAGACAACAGCACTAGTAAGACAATCAAAAAAACAACATTGGGAAATTTTCTCTAAACGAATGGAGAGTGACTTCTACGGACTTCAAAAACAAATTTGGCGCTTTATAGGAACTCAAAGAAAAGAGATTAACGAGTTTGTTAAAACAAATCACATAGCAAGGGAATCCTGGATTGATTATTTGTCAGAACTATACAAATCAGAAGAAATAGAGGTTGAACTAAATACACCCGAAATAATGACCAACGACAACGTACAGATTAAGGCAGCCGATATAATTACATCCCTTCGAAAGCTACAGAATAGGAAGAGCCCAGGGCAAGATGATATCCCAAACGAATTACTTAAATATGGCGGCCAAAGTCTCATAGAGCAGCTAACATCCCTGATTCAAAAAATCCAACACAGGATACCCGATGAATGGCGAACCAGCACCACTATCTTGATGTTTAAAAGAGGGGATAAGAAGCTGCCCTCAAACTATAGAGGCATAAATCTTCTAAGCACCACACTAAAACTTACGACAAAAGTGATAACAACCAAAATTAACGACTTAACATGCTTAGCAGATGAACAGCAAGGTTTCAGATCGGGCAGATCATGCACAGACGCGGTTTTTGTCATAAGACAGATAAATAGAAAAATCAATCGATAAAACAGAAAAATCAATCGAATATAACAAACCAGCGTATATGTGTTTTATTGATTTAGAAAAAGCGTTCGACCGTATGCAGCTAAGAGACGTTGTACACCTTCTTTACAATAGGCAAATCCCACACAACCTCATTAAAACCATACAAAACATATATGAAGCGAACCAAATTCAAGCTACAAGATGACTCCCTGAGCCCTCTTCTTGTCAACATCATTATGGACGAAATAATAGGAAAAGTACGTTTACTGAAGGGATACAGTATGGGCGACCAGGAAATTACTATTTTATGCTATGCCGACGACGCCGTATTGGTAGCTGAAAATGAGAACGATCTACAGCGCTTATTACATCGATTTAATTGCACTGCGAAATCACTTAATATGATAATATCGACCCAGAAAACTAAATGCATGACGACATCAAAAGTACCACTAAGATGCAAACTGGAAGTCGAGGGCAGTGTTATCCAGCAAGAGATGAAGTTTAAGTATCTAGGCGTAGAAATCTCAGGATATGGTGATGTAGAAGCGGAGGTGCGAGAACGGACAACGAAGGCAACCAGAAGAGCAGGATGCCTGAATAATACAATATGGCGAAATAAAAACATTGAGGTGGAAACTAAAGCGAGAATTTACAAGGCAACGGTACAACCAATAATGACATACACTGCAGAAACTCGACCTGATATAGCGAAAACTAAACAACTACTAGAGACAACCGAAATGAGAGTACTACGCAGAATAGCTGGAAAGACGCTTCTGGACAGGGAGAGAAATGAAAGCATAAGAAGAGCGTGCAAGGTGGAAAATATAAATGAGTGGGTACTCAGCAGAAAGGAAGAATGGAACGACCATATCAGCAGAATGGACAACAGAAGGATAGTGAGAGTTGCATGCGACAAATCACCGCTAGGTCGCAGAAGCTTAGGACGTCCACGAAAACGATGGAGCGACAACTTGTCAGTCTGACCGGTAGAGACGACGAAACCAAACAGGCGATTCGCCTAGTATGAAGAAGGAAGAAGAACCATATAAGGAAATACTATACGTTTAATTTATACAATATTATCGAGAAAAAAAAAACGGCGTCACCGGTGGCTGTAAAATGAAGATCGCTGTCATTTTATATGTGATATATGGGGAATGCCATCGTTGTTCATTTCCAAGCCAACTTTATGCCGTTTTTTCGATCATACGGTATATTAAACAAAGTATAATTTGTAGTAGAAAATAAGATTTAAACTTAAGATTCTTATACTTCGTCGCATTTCAAATTCAGATTATTTGAAATTTCTAACATATCCTAGGGTGATATATTGCCAAGCTCCGCTAAGTCCAACATAGTTCAGCTGAACAAATAAAACATGGTCTTGTTATCAACCTATGATGCACTCTCTTCGGTTTCCAAGTAGAGTCAGCATTCAATATACTGTCATTGTATATTATTATAAAACAATACACTACTTTTTCTTTTTACATTTAGTCTGATATTTTTTTCTCTTATGTCTTTATCTCTTCTACTATAATCAAAAACTGTACATTTACATCACATAATTTAGAAATTCCCCTTTAGGTATTTTGCATGGATTTAAGATATTTATTAACACGCAACTGCGTTCTACAATAAACGTCAAAGCTAAATTCTTTTTATTACCAGGCTAGATACGCTAACAACTGAACAAGTTTATGACGTCGTACGCGTAACTATAATGCACCACGATTACCGGAGGCCATATGCAAATAATGATATTTTAACAATAGACCAGGCAACGTCGAGGTACGCCACTGAAAGCGCCACAAGGAAGGCTAATGCCTTCCAGTTTTATCATAGCAAGATTCAGATGTAGTGAAACGGTCTTCCTGTGCGGATTAATGCTAATGGTCTACCTTTATTCCCTTTTTTTCTGTTTCCATGCCATAGGACTTGACCATAAATCGTATTTTAATTATTATGGTCTCGGTGAAATATTGCACATGTGCAAGCCGCTATGTTGTTGACTGTCAGAAAGAAATCTCTCCTCCTCTGTATAGCGAGAGACTACTTGCTTACTTCGGGCTACATCTTTCGACAGCTTATTTAGATTGTATCGGTTGGCAAAACGCTGTAATTTGGCATGTCAGCGCCTTATGCTAAGAAGGAGTACCTATAAATTGAAACGGAAGAGCACTTTTTTGATCATTACTTTAAAACTGATAATATATGGGTCGTATCGTATGATTTGTCTGTACTTATACCTAATTATACACTACCCACGAGGAACGATAAGGGTATTTGAAGTACCTAGATTTATTTGTTCTTATTTCGATTCGCGTCTAATCTGTGCATTAAATTACAATGCCATATTTTAACGCTACCTTATGTTATGCGCGTCTAAACACCTTTTCGTTGAATTTTTTTAATCAAATAAACTTGGTTTAAATAGCAGAAATTTAGTATTTCTTTAGATCGAAATGAATAAGTAGTTTTAGATAAAAGGAATGGGTAAGATACTTTCTTAGGAAATTTGAGATTTAATTATTCATATTTGGGATTTTTTTAGGATTTGTTTAAAGCGCCAATTAAACTGTAATATTATATTATTGCCCCTTTTTGTAGAATGTAGAATGTTTAGCAGGGGGGTTAATCACCGTCGCGACCTTACAGATGTACTGTGCGTTCTCCTTTCTTGAGTTATAACGGGTTATAACTCAGGGCTTTGACAAAAGCCAGTATCTGAGACGACTCCACAGAGGCCAACTCTCCATCTTCGACATCAGCCGTACCAAAGTTTATGGCTCGCACAGTTGTCGTCTCGGCGCACTCAGTGATAAGGTGTTTCCCCATTTCCCTTTTGTAAGGCACTTCTAAATATTTTTTATTGGAACTATTATTCCAGAAATATGATGAACTGACTTACTAAAATACACTATTTATTAGAAACCAGCAGCAATTAGCAGCCAAGTTGAAAACTTAATACTAATATATCTAACTTACATTTTCTATAATTAAAATTGCAGATTTAACAAGGAATGTTTAAAATTTTCTAAAATATATAATTACTTTGAAAATATTAGCGTATAACAAAATATCAGCGTAATTATTGAACTATTATTTTGCAGTTATTTGAACAACGACAATATATTTATAGTTTTTAAAATATTTGTTTCAGTTTTAAGAAATTCATCACAATATTCACTACAACTATAGTTTTAACATTCTTCAATTACTGTATTGCACTCGTATTGTGAGCTGCTTCTTCCCAGTTATTCTGCATGTTAATCCCCTTTAAATTTTCGTGGAAAATATCCTTGTACCTTTTGAGTTGTCCATTCGGTCTCCTCTTACCGTCTACAAGCTCACCGTAAAGCAGAGATTCTGTATGCGGTTTTCTTGCATTCTGCATACGTGACCAGCCCATCTTAAGCGGTATTTTGTAATCATGACTTCAATATTCTCGCAGTTAGCTTTTTCAAGGACCGAGACGTTTGAGACATGATGGAACCATTTGATTCTTAAGAGTTGTTTAAGATGTCTCTGTTGCAGCTTGTTTAATGCGTTCATGTGTCGGCGGTACGGCATGCGGCACCCAGGTTTCGCTTCCATATATTTTCTATTAGAGGCTATTAGTCAGCCAAAGTATGGTTGGTATTTTGTATACTTATTGGGGCCTAATAAAAAGATTTGATTTGATTTGATTTGATATAGCATGGTGGGAATTATAATTGCTCGGTACACTGCAAGTTTCGTTTTTGTGCTCAAGTCATGTTTGTAGAAAAGCCTGTCTTTTAATTTTCAGAATGCTCTTGAGGCGCTGCTAATCCTATGCTGAAGTTCAGAGTCGATATTGGCCTTTTCCCAAAATCAACCTGCCGAGGTAATTGAATTCCGGTACATATTCCGATAGTTCTTCTCCGATTTTTACTAGCGATGGGAACTATCGAATGAATTAGACTATCGAATGGTTAATGAATGAATGATTTCAACTATCGAATGGTTTTATTCGAATAAAATCATTCATTCATTTGTATACTAAAGCATATGTGACAACCTCGCCGTGCGACTAAATGGTTATCGTTGAGCCACGACTATCGAATGCTTTTGATAAATGAAATTTAGTATTCGTTTGATTTTTGTATGCGTCAGTGCATTATTAGTTCTTCCAAATTTTTATAACTTTGCCGTATAAATACTGTGCTATTTTTGCGTTTATTAAAATAGTTAAAATACTAAAATAGTAGTTATTTTTTAATTTTATTTATTGACGATTGTGTGCATGTGCAGGTGGTCAAAAGTTTTCCGAAAATTTGTGTGGTTTTCCGTAGTCCGATCTTTCAATTATTTAATTTTATATGGTATATGGCTATTTTTTAATGGGAAATTTTGAGAGGTAGCAATTTTTAAGAGAGATGAGATGAACTTACAATTAATTTTAAAAATACATATTTGTATTTTAGATGTTTTAATAATATTAATTAGTTGAACTTAATAATCATATTTAAGTAATGTAGTTAAGTAAATGGTTATCGAACTCAAACTATGGGGTGAGAAAATTAAAATGAAAGTTTTACACGTCCCAATTTAAAAAAAAAGTTAACGATGTTTGTATTTTGTTTATGCTATTTCTCTTACATGTAGTTTTTTGCGAAGAAATATTTCATTTATTTTTTAAAGTAAATGCCAGTAAAAGTAAATATAATTTTAAATAGTAATATAAAGCACCTAATATAAATAATTTTGATTTCTAATTTTTATTTATATTTTCCTTCCATTACACTGCATGCTTAGAAAATTAATAAATGTTTATATTTCATGATTTTAAAATTTGTTGTTAATATAACAAATTAGTTCTGTAATTATTATTATTTAATAAACCAACGTTGCCACACACAAAAAATTTAGAGACTATATTATTTTTAAATAGGATCTAATATAAATAATTTTGACATCTAATTTGTTGTTTATATTTTGCTACTACTTAAAAAAAATATTTATATTAAATGATTTTAAATTTTGTTGTTAAA